TTACGCCAAAGCGTTATTTTCTATTTATTCATAAAAAAAATAATATTCGTAAAAAACGTATTGAATAAAAGACAAGCTTTGTTCAGAAAAATATATAAAATATATTTATACATGGTCTTATAAAAACTATACTGGAATATATCTAATCTAACAATTTAAGATGTGAAGAATATGTGAAATAAAATCGCTAGTTTCATTCACTTTCGCTCACAGTTGATAGCATCGATCGTAACAAAACAACTGTAATTGCTGGTTTAGAAGCTCAAAGCTCGAGACCGCCTGTGTTCAATAATGAGCATTGAGGATGATCAAGTTAAAAGAGCTAATGATCTATACTAGATAATCTTGTAATAAAAATGCGATAGTTTGTATATATGTATATATATGTTTGTTCTATGCTAAAACAGCTGAACTAATTTTGATAAAACTTTGTACATAGATAGACTATCGTAGTATCTTTAATTATGAATCGAGCTTTATGGTCTTTACTCTAATCAAACTACCTCGCTAGTGTAGTGGCTAGCATGTACGGCTACACACTCGGAGGTCTTGGGTTCGAGTCCCAGGTTGGAGGAGAGCACGTAAAGCCGTCGGTTCTGCGCCTTAACTCTCACTGGTCGTGTCGAGCAGTCGTCCCACCGGAGTATGAGAGTGACGGGAATAGAGAGTGCACGTTATGTCTGCGCGTACACTTGTCCACTATAATATCTCCTGCGCAGTTGGCTAGTCTCAATGAGATTGGTCGCCGTGGCCGAAATCGGTCAGGAGAACATCATCACTCTAATCAATACGTTTTATTTAAAAGGATTTTTATATTTATAAATTTAAATTTAGTATGAATTAAATTACAATTAATAAAAACAAGTAGGTAAGTATCTACTGTATATATATATATATATATATATATATATATATATGTATATATATTGTATACACTACTAGCGACTCGCCCTCGCTTCGCTCGGGTTCGTCCCTAGGTTGCTTCCCCATACAAACTTTCATCCCCATTTTCACCCTCTTAAGGGATGATTTTTAGCAGGATAAAAACTTCCCCCCCCCCCAACGTGCGTTCACCTTGTCGTGGTGGGGGGGGCTCAGTAGTGCCCGGCAATCCATCCGGGCGCGAAGCCAAGAAACGCACAGGGAGGTTGCCCACTTCGGTGGGCTGTGGGAGGTGGCCCTCTTCGGGGGGTGGTGTACCTTGCGGGTTGCTCCTGGTACTTCTCTGATAGCAGAGTGGACTTTGGAGCAACCCCATGGTCGTGGTGGTCTGCTTTGGCAGACCTGCCGTCGGGGCGTCGTAGTTGAATGCGTAAGCGATCCTGCGACGCCCCATTAAGACGGGGGAAGGTTTTGTTGGGTTTTAGTGGGTAGTACTGGCTGTATTACGCCGGTGAGTCCCACACGTCGTGCGTAAATGCATTTCCCAACGTTAAAAAAAAAAAAAAAAAAGGATAAAAACTTCCCAGGGTCTCAAACTATCTTCTAACCAAATTTTATCTAAATCGGTTAAGCAGTTTCGGAGCTTATTCGGTACAAACAAACAACCAAAAAAATCTTTTCTCTTTATAATATTAGTATAGATAAATAGTCTAAATTATAAAACAGAATGTTTCACGATTAGACCACACTCGCACCTGCGGTTGCAACTCTTGCTCGTGTCACTACTTCGCTTTGTAACAGTGACTCCGGTAAGCCTATTAAATCAGATCTCATTTGTATTACCCACAAATCCAATTTCCGTAAATAGAAGTGTCGATGAAAAGTGTGAACTGCTTCGTGCTACATATTTAGAGCAAAATATCTACAATTTTCATAGATTAGTTATGGAAATGATTATGACGCTTTGGATGTTGTATACATTAGAATGGGTATTTGTATTGATTACATAAAATTCGGTTTTGATGAATGTTGTATTATAATTATATCTAATATATTTAAACGAGCAATTCCTGTATATTGATTTATTTATAGCGGCGATCTCGGAAATGGCTTTAACGATTTCGCTGAAATTCGGTATGTAGAGGTTTTCGGGGGTGAAAAATCGATCTAGACTAGTCTTATGTCTAGGAAAACGCGTGTTTGAGATTTTTCACGCGGTTTTCTTTCGCATTATTACACGCAAAATATGGTCGCTAATTTCGCACGTTCGGGTATAAGCGTCGTGGTCAAGCGGCCAAGGCGCAAGATTAAAAATCACAGGTATCCGGGTTCGAATCTTGGTCGGATACAAAGATTTTACTTGTTTTTTTTATATAATTCAAGTTTTTTTTGTATTTTTTTTGATCACGATAATACGATGAAAAATTTGATATAACAAAAAAGAACTCCGAGCGAAGGTCGGTCGCCCAGGTACTTAATTATTAAGTGTCATTTGGTTTAAAAAAAATCTTTATAATTTATGCATAAGTCGTAAAAATGTTTAAGATAGCGAGTCAGTATAATACTCCTTTCATATATTATATAAGAAATAATATTAACATAATCATGCTACTAAAGTCTCTCAGTGTTTAAACTAGACTTAACGCGTCAGTCTATACAATAGCAGGCTTAGATAGTAAACAAAAAATATGTGAAAATTACATATCTAATATTTACAATAACAATTTGTCTTTTCTACACAATTTTGTACTAGTGATACAATTTTCAAGTAGGTTAACTTATCGATAGTGAGAAGCGAAATCTAAAGTAGTCGGTAATTCTCGACTTACATGTAAGTTATTTTAATGCAAAAAATTAAATAAATCTAGTGCTCCATTGTTTCATGATAGAAGTTTAGAAATTAAAAAAAAAAGTATTGATTTATCTTCTATGCTCTTCGCAGGCAATTCTCACCAGACAGATCTGTGCTAAATGGCCATATCTATTAAGAAGTCCAAATGCAAAATCGATACTTAATTATGACGCAAACTATCCAAGAGTTTGAGAATCTATTATAGAATTTCGAACGTTCGGTTAAGGCGAGGTGAGAATCTAATGGCTTTGTGGTGTCTATTAATGCCTATTAAGATTGGGGTAAACAGTTCGAATCTAGCAAACACTTGCTGTGAGGGCTTTTGCTTGAATAACTAGGAAACCAAATTAAAGCGTTAACTGGTACATTGACTTATGAAGTACAGACCAATTTTGGTATGAGTTCAAGGTATATCACTTCTTATAGGTGGTATATTTTTGACTGACTTAAAAAGTTGTTTTATGATATCTTTAAGAATGTCGATTTTTTGTTTTTATAAATAGGTATGTAATTATACTAGAGTAATTTCAAGAAATCCGTATCTGTAAAGAAAGGTCTTTACGTATGTATGTAAAATTTTATAATTAAAAAGCAATTATTTTTCTTGTGTTTTCAAAAATATTGTATTCAGCTCTTTTTCAACGTCCCACTGCTGGGCACGGGCCTCCCTTCAATACGAGGGGGATCAGGCCATAGTCCACCACGCTGGCCAAGTGCGGGTTGGCGGACTTCACATGTCTTTCGAAAACTTGCTAAATTTTCTCAGCCATGCAGATTCTCTAACGATGTTTTCCTTCATCGTAAGGCAAGTGGTGATCATATTGGAAATGATAAGCATATGAAAATATCAGAAGGGCGCCCAGGACTTGAACCCGCATCACTCGGTTTACCAAGCGAGCGCGTTTCTTTAGTCTATAATATGTACAATTTTTATTATATACAACCAAAGTTATGATTAGCCCATTTATATTCTGAACATATATAAATAAACATATGTACTGTAATATATAATACATTATTACATACATATAATACGATTTCTTCATAAAGTAAATAGTCCACAACTTGTACGCAGATCACGTGAGAATTACTTCGTAACGCGATTATGACTGTGTTATTATTGCTTTCTGCAAACTACTTGGTTTTATGGTGTCTGGAGATGGATATTCTAGTTTATGGGGGCTTTGCACCATATCATGTTATGGTGATCTGCGTTTTACTATTTTAACTTTTTACGAAAGAATTATAGTCTTAATTAACTTAACAAAACGCTAATATTGGCAATATTGACAACTTGAAGTTTGAGATGTCCTCTATTTCCGAAAAAAGTAAAACATCATAGATGACAGCGCCATGTAAAGAAAGCTGTCATCCTCCACTTCGATTACGTTACATTAACGGGTCATTCCTATGCAAGTGAAATTAAGGTATATAAGTGTCAGTGAACTATAAATTATTAGTGAAGTGCAGTGAAATAAGTTATTTTTTAATTTATTTAGAATATATATATATGTATATATATATATATATATATATATATATATATAGATATTTTTGTAGGATCCGGGGATATTAATAAAAGCGTTTATAATACTTTAACTATTTATTCTTTAAAATATTATAAAACAATGTTCACTCGTCTCGTCGTGTCGTCATTATGTCACAACATTTTTCTTTCCTTTTATTCATCTATTTCATTCCATTCCATTCTTAAAATTCTAACATACGTCTCCTTTTATTCTTAAAATATCATTTCATGCATACTCATCTTGCAGATCCTACACTCGGCCATCATGCATCCATGTCTGCCCTCAGACATACACTAAATATCTACGTAAAGCTATTACAATTATCGAATTGAGTGAATACTTCTATGAACCTAACATTATAATAGTAACAGTATAGATAAATATAGAAAACACCAATAAACCTACAAACTATTCATACCACGTATATAATTTATCCTCCAGTTCATGTAAGTGTAAAATTTAAAAAAAGTAAAAACATAAAATTAAAAATACCTCTGAAAAATAATGGACACTATCTGTTGAATATTACAGTATTGAGAAATAACAACCATAACACGATCATACAAGCTTATTTACTGATTATCTTATGCTGCTTACCTTGTTTTGGGTTGTAATTTTTGACATGCTGCATCACCTCCTTTCTTAATCTAATATTCCTTATAGGACCTATGAAGTAAGATGGCAAACATTCATTAACACAACATCCCATTTGCATCCTTTCCTTACATACTAATCTAACACAGTTCTCGTTCCATCACCACTGTAATATTTGATAAGAACTCTTGCCCTAAAATTACATTATAAGGGATATAATTAGATACAATATGAAAAACTATATTGCTATAATAATTTCCACCTGCATAAAAACTTAGATAACATTTCCCTATAGAACGTACTATGGACAACCCAATGCCGGAAAGAGTAATATTATCCTTGTTGCACTTAGGTTTACCGATAGCATCATATATATCTGAGGATATAATATTCACCTCACAGCCTGAATCAACCAGAACGCTTAAACTAAGTCCGTTAATGTTTATGGTAATCATTGGCTTCTGCAAAACTATATTATGTTTATGTATTTTGACTGGCATTACCTCGCTAATGACAGGTACGTCACTGTCGTAGTCATCGATTTTTTTTTCTTTTAAGTTTTTAACGACGTAGGTTTCAGTTAAAATATCATTTTCATTTACTTCGTTTAATGTATTAGGACAATCTGACACTATAATTGTGCCTCCTTGAGATGCTCCGAACATGACATGTTTCGGTATTCTGTGGTCGGAGTTACTCGAAGATTTACGATTATGCAGTTTGACTTCCGATCGTGGTTCGCTTCTTTTACACGTCGAACCTACATGGCCGAATTGATTGCATTTGAAGCACTTAAGTCCCTTATCTTTGTGTGGGCACTGCAACGAAGCATGACCTGCTTCACCACAACCATAACATCGTATCCGTGGGGTATTTTTGGATGTTCTGCTTCCTTCTACTTCTCTTCTTTTGGTACAGATTGTTACATAAATTCTCAACTTTTCTTTCAATTCACTATAAGTGTTTACCTCGTATAACATCATTTTATTTGTTTCTTTGTCACTTATTCCGTCAATAATATATTTAATAACTACTTTATCTTCCATTTTTCCTCGGTTACATAATTCCTTCATCACAAACATATAATTTATGCAGCTCTCGTCCTGCCATTTTCTTCTCGCGCTCATAATCTCGTGTATTGCTTTCGCATCTAGCTGGTCCGGAAATTCCTTAACTAACGCGGCTTTAAGATCGTCCCAACTTTTATATGGTCGCTCAGTCTTCAGCCAGAGTGCCGCCGTCCCGGTAAGCGATCTTCGCGCTATTAGAAGTTTTTGTAGCGGTGACCACTCAAAAATTTCTGCATTTGACTCCACTTCATCTATCATTTTTTCAATGGAGTAGGCATCGTCTTCACCACTAAAATTAGCCACTAATTCAGCCATCATCTGAAGCATGTGTGGCGGATGCGACCTCGCCTCATGGAACTCCTTGGTTTCCATCTCCCGTCTTTCACGTCGTTGTCTCGACATCGTCTTATAAAATATCGAGAAAATTTTGATAATGTCGTCGCGTATGACAAAGCTATATTTTTCAATAGAATGACTGTTTTTTATTATTATCCCGGACGAGCCCCCAATTTGTAGGATCCGGGGATATTAATAAAAGCGTTTATAATACTTTAACTATTTATTCTTTAAAATATTATAAAACAATGTTCACGCGTCTCGTCGTGTCGTCATTATGATACAACATTTTTCTTTCCTTTTATTCATCTATTTCATTCCATTCCATTCTTAAAATTCTAACATACGTCTCCTTTTATTCTTAAAATATCATTTCATGCATACCTACTCATCTTGCAGATCCTACATATATATTAAAACATTCATATACATTTAGAAGACAATATATAATAATTAATTAATTAGATATGTATGTCTTTTCAAGTGTACATAACATTCGCTTTAATTACATAATCAAAAGTATACAATTATAATAAATCCCTAATATATAATTAATAAATACAATTTAAATACAATAAAAATGATTCATATCTAGTCTACATCTGTCAGCTATAATAATTAATTTAAATAATGTTAAAAAAGTCAAATAATATAAGTCAATTTAAAAATGATCATATAATAACTAAACAGTGCATGCTAAATTAATCAAGTAATTATTAATAAACTAGCATTGCCCGTGGTTACGCCCGCGTTCAGATGACCAAAAACCAAATTCTTAGGTTTTATATATTAGTATACTCTTACATTGCAGTTTTAGTATTTTTTCTCAGAAATGAGATATTTTCCCGCAGTAAAAAGTATCCTATATGTTAACTCGGATAACCAGCTATCATCATACCAAATTTCATCAAAATCTGTCCAGTGGTTTTCTCGTGATGCGGTAACAGATAGACAGACAAAAATTCTAAAATATATAGATTCGGATTCTGTATCGATAATAATGTCAATTTCAATTAGATTTATCAAAAAATATTTAATGTACAGTTTCGGCTAAATTACAATTTTATTATAGGTATAGATAAAAGGAGTCAAAATAAGTAATTATTAGTTAAATATATGAAATATATAACAAGTGAATAGTGATTATATGTGGTGTAACTAAATAAGAAAGTCGCATATAAATAATGCGTAATAGCTATCGAGTGTTTATATATAATCCGTTTACACTAACGTTTGTTAAAATGACACTTTGGGGATAAATGAGGCATTAATATTGTCAGTATTGATATAAATTGGCATTTTTGTGCCGTTTTTAAGTAAAGTACATTCCTTACTTACAGGGAGACAATTTCTGCTAGAATGGAAAAAAAATTGTTTTTGTATCCGATAGAAAATTGAATTTCTCAAGAATTTGGTTCAACTGACTCTTGTTCGGACTGAAGAGAAAAACGAAATTAGTATTTAACTAAGTACGCCTTTCTATCCAACAAGTGATATGGTACAACGTCAAGCTAAAACTAATTCATGTTTATCCCATAACTCTTGCAGAAAGTTTAACATCGGTTAAGAAGCATTATGCGTTTACTCAAGGATCTTTTCTCATAAAACAAAATGTAGTAGTTCAAGGAGGCTAGCTGTAGGCGAATCACGTACACTTCTCGATGTAACGCTATCGTTGCTTCAGAATCTGGATATTACGAGGCTATTCTGTTACTCCACTTGAGGCATAGCCATTTTTAAAAATTTTCATAAATTCCTCATTTTATTATCTACTTATATCATAAAACTTTTGGGTATTAAAAAGCAAAATATTTGAAAAGACGTTATTGACACAGAAATAGTTTAGGGGCTGGAGAGCGATATATTATATACAATTTGTACATATATCTCTGTCAAGAAAAAACTTTGTTTGCCACTCGTTTAATAAAAATATTATTTATCGTTTGGTATAGATTTCTCAATGATGAGATATTTTCCCCAAGTAAAAAGTATCCTATATGTTGACCCGGGTAACCAGCTATGATCCTACCAAATTTCATCAAAATCCCTATAGTGGTTTTTCCATGATACAGTAACAGAAAGACAGACAAAAATTCTAAAAGCTATACATTCATTCGGCCTCTGTATCGATAATAATGTCAATTTAAATAAGATTTTTCAAAAAAATATTTAAAGTACAGATTTGGCTTAGTTACAATTTTATTATACGAGTATGTATAGAAAATAATTCACATACATTCATAATCATAACAAGTTTTTATTGTTGGGATCCTCTCATCTGTGTTATAATATAATAACCATATAAATAAAATAAAAATATTAACATCCCTAGTTGTCGGGGGCACTTCCCAAACATTAGACTACGTTTACGTTAGCTAAGCAGCTTCCATAGTTTTAGTTTATAGATGAAGACTAGCGACTCACCCTCGCTCCGCTCGGGTTCGTCCCTGGGGTGGGGTCTGGGAGGACCACCCTTATTCTTATCACTTAGGGGTATGGAAAATAGATAGTAGCCGATTCTCAGACCTACTGAATACGCATATAAAATTTGGTAAAAATCGGTAAAGCCGTTTCGGAGGAGTACGGTAAGTAACATTGTGACATGGAAATTTTATATATAAAATAAAACGAACAAAAGAAAGTTCATTGATTAAAATTATTTATTTTACTATTTCTTGTACTATTTATTTAATTTTTACAGTCACATTGATAAGAAATTGAATAAAAATGAATTCGAACGAGTACAATATCGTAAAAATCAGATATATAGATCTCTATTAAAATACGTTCGTTAATACTTTAAAAAGCACTTGCGAAACCTTAAGGCTTCCATAATGTCCCATTCAGTTCGTAGTCTGAAAAGGCGAATTTAAAGAGACTGTCTGATAAGATGCGAGACTTGGTACTTCGTATAAAGTCTAGATAAACATAGATTAAAGTAAAACTGTTGTTTGTAGTATTAGTTCTTTTCCAGTTTCGATTAATCATGATTTTTATATAAAAAAACATTAATATTTTTTTAAATAAAAATAATATTTTGTTAGACTCTAATAATATATTTTGATCATAGTTAATTAACGATATTTAACAATTATTAAAATCTTTTTGTAGTTGGTCATGCGTTAGAGTTATCAGGTTTTGAAATTTTAAAACGGATGAAATTCAAAATGTACGACACATTGCTACCTGCGATACAGTGAGATATAAAAAGGTACTAAACATACCATCTAATAGTAACTGAGTTTATAAAAAATAAAAAAAATATATTACTATATTACTAGTGAATAAACTCTTTGATCGTATTTCCATATTATGTGTTTTTATTTTTTTTATACAAAAAAAGTTTTTATGCGGTAAGCAGATGGATGAAAGATAACATTAGCTGGGATCTTAGCGTATATACAAGTCACAGAATTAATATAATATATTAGTTATTAAAAACTATTTTTATCAATAAACTTTGAACTTGTTCATGTTAGATATATAAAAAAACCGTAGTCCGAGTAAACCCCTAGATTTTCTAGAAAATATTAGAGCACTAGACAAAGCGCTAGAACTAAAAATTTCAAATTGAAATATATCGCCATATGTCAGTACACAGCGATATTGAACGATGGAATATGAAAACGAATAGCCCATGATTGACAGATGCCTCAGTCGTATTGAAAATTGTATTACTATCCAGACTTTGGCTTTTGTTCCGTATTGAAATTGTTTTGCGATGCCTAGTAAATAGCGAAGTAAACAATTTTTGTTGAAATTACTTTATTTTGGTCCATAAAATTAAATGTTTAGAGGGAAAAAAATAAAAAAAATCTATATGTAGAAATATTCACGTAATAGTGATATAAGGCTTACTACATTCACCTGAAACTGGAGCTTTTTGTGCTCTTCAGTTACAAGAAAGACTTTTTGTTAAATAATTGTTAAAACAGCCGAAATCGCTGTTTAAAACAAGTTATAATATAAATTTTGGTAAAACTCTGCCCAATATATAGTAATGCGTGTGCGTCATATCCGCAGCGGAAATTGTCTGGAGATGAGTCTGCTCTGGCCCTCACGAACTATATTACCTAAGTACATATATCATCAATGTGTAAATGAGAGCTTTCTAGCGCTTTGTTCAGGAGAAAAGATAGTGGTATGAGAATATTTTATATATATTTGTCTTATTCGCTTCGTTTCGCTCGGGTACGCTCCTGGTTGATTTTTGTATTCATAATATCCATTTATAAAGGTGAAAGATATAACTATATAAAACGTAAGATTCCCTTCAATGAGTAGGTATCGCTTGATTTTACCCTCCTTTTGTAACCTCAATTGCAAATATGCACATGTATACTCCTGTCTTTAGTAATCAATAAGTGCCTACGAATAAATAATAAGTATTTATTCGTAGATAAGTGCAGTGTCTTTCGTTCTGAAGAAAATCTTGATTTTTTAAGAGTTTCATAGTAAAAAAGCAAGAACAGAACCCTTTATAATATTTCCACACTCGCTTCCCTTGATCTTTATTATAAAATATCATTTTCTATAAATATAATATACCAGAATATATATGCCATTTTAACTTTATGTCTCAAGAAGTAAAAACAAAGGACTTTTATACTTTTATTTCACCTCTTTCAAGTTTTTTTCTTTGTTTCTCTAAGATCACATCTATACTATCCCTGAAATTCATCAAAATGAGTAAACCGTTAAGTGTGAAAACGTAACAGGCCATTCAGGACAGTACAGTACTTCAATTTTATAATATTAGTATGAATTTGTTATAAAATACATTGTACAGTAAATGAAATGCCCAATTTTGCACTGAACTCAAATCCGCGACTAGGTCATATTACTAAGTTACGGTGAATAATGAATATATATCAAAATTGTTATTTAAAAGCTATTACCAGATATTATTATATCAAACTAATATAGAGCCTACTAAATAAATCACGGAAGTTATGACTGATGATAGTAATATTTATCTTTTTGTATTTGATTTATTATTTTAATATTAGAGTATTTTGTTTTTATTGACTGCTCATCCGTAGCATATAGTCCATATTAATATCATA